CAGGCTCCTGAAATCACAGCACTCTGAATGGAGGCTGAGGCAGATAGATTGCCAAGAGTTTGAGGCCAGCCTGAACTACACAGAAATTCTAGGTCAGCCTGAATTACACAGTAAGACTTGGTCTCAACACAACCAAGTTTTTTGTTTTTTTTTTTTTAAAGTAACTTTCACACAAACTTCTCAACCTAATTTACCTATTCTCACATATAATGAGGCTCCCTGTCTTCAATCAATAATCATTTCCATTACTATTAAGTAAGCCGGGGAAGAGTGTGACCTGTGTGAGAGCCCAGTGGCCCCCAAGGAGCCTCCGTGAGCTGTTTGCCCACACTTTTGTCCACAATGCAGTGTTCTCTCTAGCTCCATAAACATCCCTTCCATGTTACACGTGGATCACAAACCTTCATGGAGCATGAACCTAGGATTCCTTTCATTAGGATTTGAAACTATACTGTTCAAACAGCACAATGTGCATATCCTATTACCAATGTCCATATCCCACACAGTAAGACAAGCCACCTCCTGCTGGGCCCAGGGGCGCATGCCTGTAACCTGAGCTACTCTGGAGGCTGAGGCAAGGGTCTGAGGAGCTCAAGGCCAGTCTTAGAGCATAGTGAGTTCAAGACTAGCTTGGACTATATAGCAAGATCCTGTCTCAAAATAAAAGATAAAAAATAGGGCTGGGAGTAGCTCAGTGGGAGAATCCTTGCCTTCAATATGCATGAAGCCCTGGGTTCAATCCCCAGTACTGGGGGGAGACAGTCATTTGCTCTGTATTTCACTTGCCCTTGCATTTTTCTTTTCTTTCTTTCTTTTTTTTCTTTTTCTTTTTTTTTTTTTTTTTTTTTTGAGACAGGGACTCATTCATGTATCTAGGTTGGCCTCAAGCTGGAGATTCTCATCAGCATTCTGAGTACTGGGAATGCAAGTGTGCCACCATGCCTGGATGATTACACTATTTCAATTAATAGTGCCTCTTTTCTTAAGCAGAGTTTTTTGTAAAAGAAACTAAATGCAGTCATAGCAATCAGTGAATAACCCAGACTGGCCCAGTCAAGGCTGCAGACCTCTGCAAAGCTTCTTCAGCAGTTCATCGGAGTACTTCAGGGCTCCCAGGTGGGCGAGGACCTGTGGCAATCGGTAGTCAGCAAACATGGTGATGCTGGCAATGTCTGTGAAGCAGCCATCCCCCTTGCCTTCTAGTACGCTCCAGGTGTCCGCCACAAGGATCTGCGCTCGTTTGTAGAAGGCAACTCTTTTCCCCTGACAAATGGAGAAAACAGAAATGTTCCCTGGGTGTCTGACAGGTTGCTGTTGCTGTATGCTTTTTTTTTTGATACCAGGAATCGAACTCGGAACCTTATGCTTGCCAGGCAGGTCCTTATGCCACTGAGCTATATTCCTGGCCCATTGTTTGCTTTTTAAAAGGCATAGGTTGAAGACATTTTTTTCAAGGGCAGAATAATGTTCCTGTGTTGGGGAAGTACAGACCTTTTACACTAAACAAAATACCTAGTTAACAGTAATAATCTCAACCATTCCCATTTTACTTCCTATTTTCTTTAGTCACATAAAACATAAATTATAGGGGCCGGGGAGATGGCTCAGTGGAATAAGCTCTTCCTTGGCAAGCACAAGGGCCTGAGTTCAATCCCCGATTCCACAAAAATAAATAAATAAATAATAAAACCTCAGGGCAGGGGAGACGGCTCAGTGGAATAAGTGCTTCCCTGGCAAGCACAAGGGCCTGAGTTCAATCCCCAGTTCCACCAAAAATAAAACCTCAT